TCTCTCTCTCTCACTCACTCTCTCCCACTCCCCCTTCACTTCTTTCTCTCTCTCTTCCTTCTCCTCTCTCTCCCTCTCTCTCCCTCTCTCTCCCTCTCTCTCTTTTTCTCTCTCTCTCTCTCTCTCTCTCTCTGTTTCTTATCTCTTTCACTCACACATACACACATACACACACGCGCACATACACATATACGTGGGAGTATACACACAGAATACGTACATAAAAACATGACTCACAAATAGAATGCGCTGTCTCCTTTCACGTATTCCTCTCGTCTCCCTAAATAATCCTACCACCCCGCTCCCACCCCCTTCCTCATTCCCACCAGGATACCCCCTTCTACTCACCACGCTCCCGAACTTATCATCAAACTACCCCCCACCCCTAGAGAGCCATAAATCCATAAGGAAACACATTTGCCCCCACAAACAGTGACGCGGTTTTTAGGCTAATGCGCATTGGGAGTCAGGAAGAAATCTCCGACGGACACGCATTATGCAATAAACATTAGCAACAGGATTAAGAGCTGCATAGCAATGCAACAGGGTAAGCTGTAAACAGGTAATAATGTGATTGAGAAAATCTCAAAGGGTATGGCCAGTTTCAAAGTCCCATCCCGGCTCTCAAAGAAAGCTTCTCTTTTCCTCCACATTTTCCATTGGCCAGCGATGAGCGGGGGTTGGGGTTTCCTGCTGGGCTGACGTAGCAGACGAACCATAGAGGCAGGATCAAGAGCGGGATGTGCAATGCTTTGATTGCAATAGTTACATTCCGCCATGTTGGTTGGAGGTATAAGCCATGAAGTGTTAATGGTTCATGGTGACTGTATGAAGATTTCCTGACCTAGAGCTGAGATGATTACTGTACTCGTGAACAGGCTTTTTTTAAAGCTTGATGTGAGTTCAATTTCCAGGCTAGAAATGCAAGTACATATTCTGTAATTTTGGCTTTCTGTGCGGTTTCAGTACACCTCAAATCTAGCGCCAGCAATAGTGGACAGAGCAGAAGTAGCTCCCCCACCCCCACCCCAGGTGTTTTTATGTGTGTTGATGAGGTCAAAAAAAGTGTCTCAAAGACAGTCCCAAAGTTTTCCCGAAAGTCTTCAGTCTCACACTACAAGGGAGCAGATTGACCAAGACTGAGCCGGGTAGCAGTCAGCTGTCGGGACGGTTGCAGAGATCTGTGAAAGCGGCTTAATTAATGCAGGGGAGTAGAGCAGGTTATCTAAGAAACCAGTTTTAGCAGATCTTTAACTGCTGCTATCATCTCCAGTCCGCACTATGCAGAACTCCCAGGGTGCTTCTCCGTTTATGGAAGAATCTGCACGAAAATCCACGCATGGAGGGGTATGCTTTTCCTCTGCAGTATTGTCTAGACTCTCGCCCTCTGTCCCTTTTTTATTTGCCTGTACGCCATAAACCCTCGAACCAAGCGCCTCGAGTTCGTAATGAACTCTTTGGGTATAGCACTGCACTAAGCTCAGCTCAGCAAAAATAGAAAAAAAGGAAGTCATTCATCTCTCGGAAGTGGTTAACTCGAGATTTGGTGTCAGCCGAAAACCCCCGCGGATCAATGAGTATCATGTTGACTTCCGTACTCGGCGCCAAAAGCATATCGGCGGTCGCTTAAACCACTTGTCGGGCTAAGTGACTTTTTGGATGCCACCGGAAATCGTCTGCCGACAGTGAAGACCAAATTACGCTCCCATGGGAAATGGTTTGCATCACATCCTCGTCACTCAGGAACAAACTTTTCTGGAATCTTCTAGTGTGGTGAATGAGGAGTTTCACTGTTCGAAACACGAATCTTAAAGATGTAGCCCTCACTTTTTATTCAACAGTTCTTTTTAAAAATAAAAATATAGATTATTCGAGAGAGCGTTTTCGGAAGGAAATGTATTCACAAAAGAGAGAGCAAGTGTTGTGTGTTTTGGAGGCTGTCTGTGAGTTCGAATCTATGTGTAGTGGAATGTAATGGCTGAGTTCTTAGGCTGGATAAGTTGTAATTAATGTGTTTCTCCGAGAAAGGAAAAGAGTGAAAGTGAAAGAGGAAAAATATATAGAGCAAAGACAATATGTATATTTTGTTCTCAAGAGATGCAGCCAGACTGTCTCTAGATAGAGCATGAGTGAGTGAGTGAGTGAGAGAGAGAGAGAGAGAGAGAGAGAGAGAGAGAGAGAGAGAGAGAGAGAGAGAGAGAGAGAGAAATTTAGAAAAAGAAAGAGAGAAGCATTTACTTGCGCGTTTATACACTCACTCTCAGAAGGAAGGCGAGGGGAGGAGGGAGAGAGGGAGTGAAAACGAAAAAGACAAGAACACCTGGGTTCACCCTACCTGTCCAGGGCCACTCATCCAGTCTGAGGCCAGCGCCGTCACAAAGGTCCACGTCATTGGTGTCACTCAGTGGGCCTGGTTAAGGATGGGGTAGGGGGGGGTAGGGATGGGGGATGAGGGTGGGGTGAAATGTTGGTTTATTTTTC